TCTCTCTCTCTCTCTCTCTCTCTCTCTCTCTCTCTCTCTCTCTCTCTCTCACTTCCTCTCTCTAAGTATGTCCTAGGGTGAAGATTAAAAAAAAATGACAATAATAATATTAATAATTTACATAAGACATTGTGAAGGTGAGACGCAGACATAAGAATTCTTTCAAAGCTCCTCAGGTGATTAGACTGTGCGCCAGGGTTGAGAATTCCTACTCTGGAGGGAGAGAGAAGGCGAGTGTGCATTTGTCCTAACGCAAGAGCACAGGATATACCACCATTCACGTATGTTTAAATGGTTCAACTATATTTAAAACTGGTTCAGAAGAAAGAATAAAATGGAATGAACTAATGTTGGGACAAAAGTTAAAACTTCTGTTTCAATAAAGAAACTCTTTCCTGTGAGGATAATTACTGATAATTACTGGGGACCAGTGAAAGGAAGGTGGTTGTTTTTGTCATCTCAGCAGTGTGATGGGCAGGGCAGGCTTCTTCCAAAGGACATGAGATGCTAAGGGGAAAACAGATGTGACCAGATGTACAGCCAGTTCAGGCCATAGCAAACTTCATGAGGGGTTTCTGATTGGATCATTGTTTAAAAATTAAAAAGAAAAAAAAGACAGCTAGCTTAAGCCAGAAAAGAGTAGCCTAAGGAGGATTCTTGAATTATTCTCAAATTGTGATAATTTTCCAAATTATATATAGGACAAATCAAAGGTTTCAATAACCATCAAAAGCTGGTCAAGAAGGATGTGACCTATTTTGGTCTAGTATTTTAATAAATCTTGATCTTCAGATAGTGCAATATGTTCACCTGTGGCTACTATGCGACCATGTGTTACCCACTATGATAGGTTGTGTGGCTCCAGTAGTGAGGAAGGAAAATATGGTTTTGCCCTTATGGAGCTTACAGTTTAACAGGGAAAACAGATGTTGAACAAATCATTATAATTAATAAATATTAGTAAGTTTTCTAAGTATTTCAAAGGAAAGAACCAGGCATTGTGAAAGTATAGAAGTAATCTAATTAGTCTAGCAATTAGTATGGTGTTTCTGTCCGTGTGCTGCACCAATGTAATATAAATCAGTGGGGATTTTTAAATTAAGCTTTAAAGAAACATTTCAAATAGCACATGGGATAGCTTTGAGAAACAGGGCATATGGTATAAATTTTTAGAAATTAGCACATGAAAATATAAACATTAACTTGACATAGGAGAGAGAAAATACTTGTAGAATTCTGCACAGTGCTAGGGCTTATGGGACATACTCTAAAAGTGTATGTTTCCTGCACAATCTAGTCAGAGGAGAGAACAGAGGGAAGAGCTGGGGTGGGCATGTTTGTTTTTTCAACCCCTTTTATTTTCTGCTCTGTCTCTAATAACTACATTGCTTGGCACGTATTAAGTCCCCAATAAATTATAATATATAGACTTTTTTATTGATTTCAGAGAGAAGAAGGGAGAGGGAGAGAGAGATAGAAACATTGATGAGAGACATTGATCAGCTGTCTCCTGTATGCCCCCTACTGGTGAAAGAGCCTTCAACTCGAGCATGTGTCCTGACCTGGAATAGAACTGTGACCTCCAGGCTCATGGGTCCACCTGGCTCAACCACTGAGCCAGACTGGCTGGTCCCAATAAATCTTTATAATGAAAAAGACGAAGCACAAAATTAAGTGCTAAAACAGTGGTATAGAGAAGTTTAGAGGAAGAAATGGAGCAAATAAAATAGATTTTATGGAGGGGACAGTATTTAAAAATGCCTTCACTGGGGAGTAACATCTTTTAGCAGAAATGAGGAAAGAGCAAGAACATTCTAATTAACTCAGATAGGCATGATTTTTCTTTCAGTGATTTCATGCTTAAGATGAGTAGTTTCTTGTTATTTTGAGTTTCAGATGAGTGGCATTTCCAGGAGATTGCCTCATGACTTACACTCTATAAAGCTGAGAGTGAGTCCCAAAGTTCTGCATTGAAGGAATCATAAATGGCCAGGTTCAAGTTCTGCAAAAATCAATCTTTGTTATTGACCCAATCATCAAAAAATTTATGAGAAGAGAAAGGAACAGAAGGAAGTAAAACTGAATTACTATGACTATCCAGTGATGAAATGGTGAGCTGCCCCTTACTGTCCCTGAGCTGGAGAGATTAAAGACAAAGCAAATAGTCTATTAAAATTTATATTTAAGCCCTAGTGTCAGCCCACAGACTGAAGGGTTCTGGGTTCAATTCCAGCCAAGGGCACATACCTCGGTTGCAAGCTCCATCCCCCAGCCCCAGTTGGGAAGAGTGTAGGAGGCCACCCACCTGTGTGTCTCTCACATCTCTGTTTCTCTCTCTCTCTCTGTCTCTCTCACTCTCTCTGAAAAGCAATGGAAAAAATATCCTCAAATGAGGATTAAAAAAAGATTTTATATTTAGGGTGAGATTCCACCCCTGCTCCCAGTTTCTCAGGATAATTTCTACTCGTAAATAGGCTTGCAAGCGGAACTTTCTGGGGATGTTAACCAGAGGGCCACATCCACAAGACTGCCTGATGTGATTGGTTCAGTGATGTTGGAGATGTTTCCCATTCATTTATTCATTTATTTATATTTCTCAAATAATGATTGCTTTTCTTTTATTTAAAATAAAAAACTATTACCTCCCCAGAAAAGCTTCCTTTATACAGAATTCTAAGTTTTTCTTGAATTCCTGGTGATAGTCTCCAGGAGGAGTCCAAAGGACACTTTGGTATGTTTTTTCCTTTTTAAAGCCTAAGAAGAGAGAGAAGAGAAAATGTAATTAAATGTCACACATTTTTAGTCCTTTCACTTATTTCTCAGAAATTTTTTTTCTCTAAAACATCTTTATTGAGATATAATTCACATATCATAAATTCACCCTTAAAAAGTGTACAATTTAGAGGTTTTTAGTAAGTGTGTGGGGTTGTGCACCCATCAGCACAATCAATTTTAAAACATTTCTCATCCTCAAAAGACATATCAAACTTATTAGCAGTCACTCTCATTGTTCTCATACTTTTATTTAATTCTTTAGAAACAACGTTCTGTAGGTCCCTGAATAGATTTGTAATCATCAATTTAAAGTCTTTTTCTAGTAAATCTATTGCCTGGGCTTCCTCATGGACTATTCACTGTTTTCTTTTAATGTAGTTTCCTATTTCTTTGTATGTCTCATAACTTTTTGTTGTTGAAAACTGGACATTTTGAATAGTATATTGTGGCAACTCTGGAAATCAGATTTCCTCCAGCCCCAGTTTATTATTATTGCTGCTTATCATTGTTGTTGCTACTGCTATTTAGTGTAAAATCTATTTTTCTTGTCATAGTTGGCCATCAGATTCTCTGATCAGTTAGTTAGTGGTCATCTAATAATTAGGCTAAGACTTCCTCAAATGATTTGCAACTATAACTGTCCCAGCTTTTTCTGAGGGGTTCTGTGTGGGTGCTGGGTACGCTTTCAGTGCCCTGGCAGACAGCTTATGACACTGCCATTGCCTTCACTTTCTGCTTGCTCAGAGGCTCACAGTTAACCAATAGTGAGCAGGTAGGACTTTCTTGGGTCTTTCTTGAGCATATGCACAGCCCTACATATGCACATGGCCATCTTGATTCCCAGAATTATGTCAGAGCTTTTCAAAGGCAAGAGGCATCTTCTCAGCTATGTCACAATATTGGGTGTTAAACATCCTGAGTCTACACTGTGATGACTGTGTAAAAATTATTCATTATTGAGCCAAATAGTATATCCTCATTTGATTTCTTTCAATTTGTGCACTTTCTTGTCCCTAGAATAAATAATCACCTTTCTTTTCTTTTTTTAAAAAATATATCTTTATTGATTTCAGGGAGAGGAAAGGAGAGAGGGAGGTAGAGAGATAGAAACATCAGTGATGAGAGAGTCATTGATCGGCTGCAGCCCGCAACCCGGGCATGTGCCCTGACTGGGAATTGAACCCCGATCGCCTGGATCCTATGTCGACGCTCAACTGCTGAGCCACGTCCGGCCGGGCATTACCTTTCTTTTTCACTTATTTAGTTTTGTTTGTTTTATTTTGTTTCTGTGTCAATTGGTCAGTCTCCCAGCTTTCTCCAATATTTTCTCAATACAATTTTCAATAAGGTCAACTTCCTCTTTCTTTTTTCCAGGAAATGTTCCTCCTGGATCCTATCATTGATCTAATCTGGACTGACTGCTGTCCAGGCCAACCGCACAGCTGGTATCTTACAGCAAATCTTCAAATCTTTTGTTCTGCCAATTCTATTCTCTGACCCTTTGTCTTCCTCTTTCTTAGTTAGCTGTTGTTCTGGTCAGCCTAAACCCTGTAGTTACTTCTACTTTTTGAGAAATTTAAATTTATATGAAAAGGAAAGCCTTTGAGACTATTTTATTGTAAAATAGTGTTGGTTTTCTGTGTACAATGTCAATGCTAAAAGTTTGATGATGCCTGGCCAGGTGTGTCTCAGTGGTTGAGCGTCAGCCCAGGAACCAAGCAATCATGGTTGGATTCCTGGTCAGGGTATATGCCCTAGTTCCGGCTTGATCCCCAATAGGGGGTGTGCGGGAAGCAGCTCATCAGTGATGTTCTTCTCTCATCGATGTTTCTCTCTCTCTATCCCTCTCCCTTCTTGTGTCTCTAAAAATCAATAAAAACATTTTTCAAAAGTGTGTTTTTCAACACTTTTAAAGAAAGGAAAGAAAAAAATAAAGGTCGATGTCATTCTGGGTCTTATTCATTATTGAAGTATATGGAAACTTTAAAGCTATTTTTATTAATCATTGGTATTCTGAATTTTTACCATGATTTGCCTTGCCATAGGTTTTTGTTTTGGGGGTTTTTTGTGTGTTTTTTAATTCTTTCTGTTAGATGCTAGGTGGGTCCTTTCAATACGAAGATTTGTATTTTAGTTATAAAATTTTTTCTTGTATTAGTTCTTTGATAATTTTATCTTGCAATTTCACTGCTTTCTTTTTCTGGAATCCTTATCAGTAAGAAAAACATGTTCATTCCACCTTCACCAACTATAGGCAAGGTTTTAAGCAACATAAGTAAAGCAGCATTTTATTTATGGAAATGTGTGTGAAGGGTTTGCATCGATTGGCTAAAGGTGTAGGTGAGGGGGTGAAGGTGTAGGTGAAGGTGTAGGTGAGGGAGCAACGCAGAAGGCAATGAGCAGAGCCAAACAGCTTTGCAAACTTTCTTTTGCTAAAGTCATAGTTTTAAGCTGGACCTTTAAATAAACACTTGCCAACACTCAGTATTTTTGTTCATTATAATAATTCAGAGGGCTAAACTGAAGTTTTGCAGAACATTTAGCATATGCAAGGCACTCGCAGCTTATCATCTATGGAAGGAGGGCCCAGAAACTACTGTCCAGTGTGGTCACCATTAGTCACTTGTGGCTATTGAGCACTTAGGATGTGGCTGGTGTGAACTGTAAAATACACATCAGATTTCAAAGGCTTATTATAAACAAATGTGGAATATCTCATTAATAATTTTTATATTGTTTACATGTTGAAATGACATTTTGGATATATTGAGTTAAATAAAATATGTTATTAAAATTAGTTTGATCCGTTTCTTTTCTTTTAAATGTGTTTCTGGAATTCTAACAATCACATTATGGGGCTTGTATTTGTGGCTCATTCTATATTTCGATTAGACAGCACTAGTCCACAGAATTAGAAGAGATGATACCTGATACAACATGAAATTCGTTGTGTTGAAGAAAGGTCACATTATGCCCATGATCTTGAAGAATCTGAGACGCCCGGTCCATCAGTAGATAATGGCTTCCCCCTAGGAACAAGGCTTCTGTTTTTTGAGGTGCATGGAGAAAAAAAGCAAGGGTGGGAGGATAGGGGACCAGGGGAGCTTCAGAATAACCCCTGGCTGAGCCCTCGCCTCAAGCAACCCTCCTCTACAGTTTCCCCGTCCTGTGACCCGGGACCTCCCTGTCCATGGGACAAGCATAGAGCATCTCTCTTCCTTGGAAACGGACTACCTGTCACTCAGGGCTGTGTCCCCTAACCGTGCCCTGCACCAGGCGGCATGCATGGGCTCCTCAGAGCAGACAAATCAGAGCCCTCCTTCAGCTCTTCCCTGGACCCTCTGCAACAGCGAAACCAGCAAATGTCTGGTTTCTCCAGGAGGCACTCACGTGGAGAAGGTGGTGGACCTAGAAAGGTCCCTGGAGAGTAAATGCTTTTGACAGGAGGTACTTATTTGGGGCCTGAGTTTGGCTCCACTTGGAAGTCAGACATCCTGGGAGTCAGACACCCTGTAGCCTGCACACCAGACACCTGAAGAAATCTGCGGGACCTGATTCGCATTAAACTGCGGAACCTTGGTCCTGGGACTGTGGCTGAGGCAAGCTGCCTGCTTTCCCAGCTGGCTCTCAGCCTCGGAGGAGCCTGGTGCTTTCCCTGGGGACAGCTTTGTGCAGCCACAGCCTGGCAGCTCCAGAGAGGACAGGTGGGTCCCCTGTGTCCACAGCCCGGGAGCGAGCTCCGCGACGGCTCGCAGCACTCACCATACAAGCTCAAGGTCAGGATTTTGGCGCCTTCCAGGAGCTGGAGCCAGTGCAGCAGGGGGAGCAGGAGCAGCGCCTGCCCGGTCATGCTTCCTCGGGGTGCCCTGCGGAGCAGGACAGGGCTGTGGGCTCTGCAAGGCGCTGGGACCTCTGCACCCTCGCCCTGCACAGCGATCTCTGCAAACTCCCTGCAACGGACCCGAGGGCACTGTGGTGTCTGCTCCTCCCAGATAGAGCAGCTTGTCAGTCCTGGCTTCTTTACCTCCTCCCCTTTGGGCCCCAATGATTCCTGCCCTGCTGGCCTCTCCCTTTGATCCTGTCTAGAAATCCGGGGCTGATGTGAAAATCAGGTCAATGACACACCCTTCCTCGAAGCAGGCAGGTGACAGTCTGAGTCACGTTGGTCTGGAATTCCAATTTAGGATACGCAGTCTGCCTTCCGTATTCCCATGTCCTGTCTTCTGGACCTTTCTCTAGACTTTTGAGTGCCCTATTGGTCACCCTTCTTACTAATTTCATCAGTGACACATATCTAATCTCCATCCCCTCCTGCTCCCAGGAAAGAGACCTGGGGGTGCTGAGGTTTAAAAGGCATCACCAACTGTTACATATAACCCAGGAGCCCGGTCACTGCACAGTGGTGACACCCATTTATTTACTGATTCAGCACAAATTTATCAAGCACCTGTTGGGACAGGCACCGGTGGTTCTGCAAACAAAAAGCATTCCTCCCAGAGCTTATGTTTGAGAGGAGAGATGAGCATTAGCATGTGTTATAGCACGTTAGGTAGTGCTAAATTCTAAGGACAAAAATGAAATGGTGACGGCACCTCTGAGAAATGCCTCTGAGAACTGAAGTCCACATAAGAGCCTGAAGGAAGAGCCTGAGGTTAATCAAGTGGATGCTTGATGGTTCTTAATAAATGAGTATCTCCTGTGGGGCAGCATTATTCTTGACACGGAAAGCAGATGACTTACTAGGTTCTGCTCAGAAATCTCCTTTTCCAAAGCCGCCTTTGAAAAAAACTGTCTTTCTCCTCTGGTGTTAGGTGTTCATTATTCGGCTCTTTATAAAAGTTATCTTTTCAAAGAATCAAGGCCATGTCTGTAACCTTCATAATCATTCTAGAGGTTCCCTAAAATTTTATATATACAAAATACTTCAGGAGCTCTCAACAGAGAAGCCACATGAGAAGTACAAGTATTCGACGCAAGTTCATCTCTCAACAAAAGCAAATATGTCTATGGAACTTTCCCCATTGTTCTTTTTATTTTTATTTTTTAATTTTATTATTGTTTAAAATATTACAGATGTCCCTTTTTCTCCCCAGTGACCCGTTCCACCCCATTCCTTCCCCCTCCCCAGTCCCTCTCCCCACCATTGTCCGTGTCCTTGGGTTGTGCATATA